AAAATAAATTACAAAAAAAAATTTTAAAAAAAAGAAAAAAAACTTTTTTTAAAAAAAAGACCCGCCTTAAATATCTATTTGGAATTAAAAAAAAAAAAAAAAAAAAAAAAAAAAAAAAAAAAACAAATATATTATCTGAAAAATCCTTAAATAAGCAAAAACTTGAGGAACTATTTGTTGTGAAAAATAAAAAATAAAAAAACATTTGAATCAAGATCACTGACATTATAAAATATTTGGGTAAGAAAAAAAAGAAAAAAAAAATCGAAACTTTTGTTAAATGTGATTCTTAAATGCAATTAGATGTTTTAGTCAGGTGTCGGCACTGTGCAAGCCATATATAATTCAATGGGTTTGGTTATATAATGTTTTGTAATGTTGTTATTATGTGATATAGTCATGTTGTGATGTAAATAATAGAATAACTGGAGTACATTCCAGATGTTTATTATATTGTTTTGGTGAGGTGTTATGTATTGTGATTATTGGAATTCATACAGAGCACTGATCACATGCTTTTTCAATCCAGTAAGTTGTTATATTGTTTAAATGTGTAAAAGTAATATGAAGTATGATTGATATTTTATGTAGTATAAATTATTTGATGAAAGTAAGCTAGTTGTAATTTTTGTGTTAAAATTTGTGAACAAGGACTGGTAACTAGCCAGAAGATTATATAAAATCTAATACTAGTTATTATCAGCAGAAAACAAAAAAATTCTAGAAAAATAAAATGTTGTCTCTTGAGAATGAGATTGTTTTTGATAAATGATAAAAGATGTAATTGTTTTGTAGCAATTACTGTTTCAAATTATTGCCTAGTACTGTTATCAGTCACTAGATCTCTTAGCACGGGCCATTGCTGAAACCTTTACTACTTTAAATCAGTTCTTTGGTCTATTTCCTCTTTCTAAAGAACATATTCCACTAGACAAAGTTCCTTGAAAGAAAGAAGCTTCCTAAAAAGACAATTTTCTATGGATGGAAATGTTGTAGGAAAGAGTTTTTTTTTAGTAAATAGTTTTATAATTTTCTTTAAATAAATATTTTAATAAATATATTTATTTATTAACATATTAATATCTATAGCAACATATTTTAATATATTACTATTGTTATAAATTTTATATAAGTTATTTTTATAAAAATTGAACTATTAATTAATAAAAGATCATAGTTTAAGATAAGAATAGACCCTTAAATTATTTAGCATATAAAATTTTGCAGATCAATTATGTTCTTTTTAAAGGGACATAATTAATTATTTATTATTTTAATAGGGATATAGTTCAAAAAACACTTGGATCAAGTGGTCTAAATTGCAAAAAACCTTTGTAGGTAATTTTTTTTTTGACCTTATATTTTTAAAAAAACCTTTTTAATAATAAATAATATTTGAATCATGTTCTTGCCTTTAATTTAGAGATTTATTTTTAGTTTAAGAAATACTTTACAAAAAAAATTATTTTGTTGCTACTGAAATTATTAATTATAGGTTTTGTTTTTGTATAACAAAATTGCTTTTACAGTATATATATATATATGGCTGATTCTTTTTGAAAACGACAAAAATGTTATATACGATTTTTTGATCTCTATTTTTTGAACAATACATATACAATATAAATTCTAGGAGTACAATTATAAAGTCAGAAAAATCCCTGTCCGCCTTCAAAAAGAATTACCCATATATATTAATATAATTATTTTATTGAGTTTGTTTTTTTATACAAATATAATATTTAGTATAGAAATCATTAAAATATTTGTAATAATAAAAAAATGTTAAATTATAAAGAATCTAATATTAAAAAATAATAAAGAATTTAATATATTTATAAACAATATATTAAAAAGTCAAATCTAGATTAGATAACTTTTTTTAAAATAAGTAATAAAAAGAGTTTGTCAAAGTTAAGATTCTAAAATAATACTAAAATAATACTAAAATTATATTTATTGTAATAAATTTAATATATTGGTCATAATTATTGTATTAAACTTATAATAAATTCAGTACATTCTTGATATGAAATAATACTATTAAATTAAAAAATTTATATAAGAATTAAACAATTATTAATATAAAATTAGTACTTTAAACAAATTTTTTCTTTTTTTTATTGTTTACAAAATGTAAATTGTTATATAAATTTTATTAATAATATTATTCTGTTTTTTAAGTTCATTAGCATTGCTTAATATAGTTTTTTTTAATTTATTTGTGTTTTGAAAGTAAATTAAAAAATATTTATTTATAAACATGACATTTTTTATAACTAAAATAACAAGAAGATATTGTTTTTTTACTATGCTAATATATTGATAGAAATAGATATTTAACTTGAATATAATTCAAAAAAACCCATTTGATTGTGAAATTATTAATCAAATTGCTTTGAAATTATTTTCTATAGGAAAATAATAAGCAAGTTTAAATGAAAAATTCAAATAATAATTAATAAAATACTTTTGAACGGAAGAATTTAAAAGTAAAGTTCAAATAATTTGAAGGAAAATAATAAAAATATATTGGTTTGTCATTAAGATTTTTAAAATTAAGTTTTCTTTGCTTAATAAAAGGAAATGATTATTAACTTCAGTTTTGAAATTTGCAGAGTTGTTTAATATAATAGGTCTTTATAAAAAATAAGCTAGATTTGATACAAGTATAGTATACTCTAAAGCTATTAATTATTTAGTTATATATCTAGGATAAGTAATAGAAAAGACCTTTAAAAGTTTTATTGTAATTGAAGGAAAGATATATTCTAATAGCATTTAGAATTGAGAAGGCTTGTTTTCAATTGTCTCTTTACATTTGAGAAATAAGCATTGATGAAATCAATAAAGTTAAAACAAAATTCCAGAAGCTGTGTTATTGAGAGTGACCAAGTCTAAATATTTGAGATGTATAATGCAGAAAACTTTGTTAATTAAGATTTAGTTTTTTTAATTGTTCTGATTATGTATCTGATTTAAGATTGTTATTGTGAAACTTTTTTTCAATCTTTGTTTATCTCTTTATTTTTAAGAAATTCGAGTTTTCAGATAAATTTGTCTATAGTTGGAGCTTCATATTTAATATTGACATTACAAGGTTGAGGTTAAGTATTTTCAATCTTTCTGACTTTGATAATGTTTTTACTTTATGAATTATTGTAGCCAGTTCGAGAATTTTACTATTAAGGGGCCTTGTATCATTTCTTTCTCTTAAAGTTCTGTAAGTTGTGATTCATCTAAACTGTATTAATTTCTTTAACATCATTTACTAAGTCATGATAAAAAATTTTTATATTTAGCACAAACTGTTGTCATGATAAAACGGCTTAAGGAAGGCAATATGATTGGTGAGCGATTTGATTTTTTTAAAAAAATGTAATAATAATAATAATAGCTTAGATAATCCTGTTCCTCACACTTATGTATTACGTACTATTTCCACAAATTGGTTTGAGCTGTCAATAAAATGGCCAGACTACAATTGATATCGTAAAGAGTGATGTACATTTGATAATAATATATTATGTCAGGTTTCAAATTAAAGTTTATTTAGATAAGTAGCGAGTTATAATAATAATAAATATACGATACTGTATAAAGTGTCAGTGTATGCAACTAGTAAAATACAAAGGCATGGAATCTATCACTTATTGGTATGTGTCAATCTAAAATATAAGTTACATTATAATTAGAAACTGATTAGTGCTTACAGTAATTTTGAAATGAATCTTACAAGGTTTTTATGAATTTCATCGGCGGATAAACGGTAATTGTAATAACGAAAATTGCTATTACAAATGTAATTATTAATAATTAATTCATTTATTGAAAAAACTTAATTGAAAAAAAAAATACCTCATTTTTCCAGCAAAATCTGGAGTAGCTATAGAACATCCAATGTGTAATGGGTCTTTGTTGAATTCAATGTATTGCGTCTGGACGTGTTCAATGCACTTGAATCCAACCTATTGTCCATTTAAGTAGAAGTCCATGCGTTTAAGAGGATCTGAAAGTGTATAACCTATATGATACCATTTATTTAATTCAAGATCAATGAAGATTTCTTCAATTCCACAATCAAAATAATTATTTGCCGAGAATTAGGGTGAAGTTTTCCGGTGTTCGGACGTAGCCAAAGACTGGGAGTCCGAATATAATTAGTTCCCCCTGTATTTTATTTGCGAACATAAAAAAGACCTCAAATTATGACTATTTAACTACGGTTTAAAACGATTTTATGATATATACCCTTTTGAAAAATACTCTGCCAACCTGTATCATGTCTCTGAACGTTTAATCTCAGAGTCACTGATATTTTGTTAGTCACGGAGGGTAATTCTCCGTCATTAATATGCATTTTATTAGTAGGGAAATCTAAAGGATTTGAAAATATCTCCCTATAATTTTCCATCTTTGAAATTTCCGCTCAATAGTTACAAATTGAACACCTGTATTAACACAAAAAGAATTACTGTATTCCGTTTTTTTATATTATATATACAACCAGCATCTACATTATATTTAAATATTTAATACGAATTTAAACAAATTTAGTAATATGTGCTACTTTATTGCGCTATGTACTACAATAAAAACTGTTTTCATATACTGTATAGCATCATACTTTGTCACAAATGTAAAGTACAGTATTACGGTATTAATGCGCATTACGAAAAATTCAGAAGACTTAAACAATATTTTGCCAGTTAATATTTTTAATTTTTTTTGACATCACTAACTAACTATCTTATACTGCTATATTAGAACTTACAATAGTGTTCGTGTGAAGCTCATGTTGTGAATTATAAAAAATATTTTGTGTTAGAAAATATTGACGAAAAGCAATTGTGAGAAACCGTACCTATTGAGCGGAAATTTCAAAGATGGAATACAAAGAGATATTTTCGGATTCTTTGGATTTTCCTACTAATATAATGCATGTTGAAGACGAAGAATTACCCTCAGTGACCAAAGAATTATCAGTGACTCTGCGGTTAAATGTTCAGAGTCATAGTACAGGTTGGCAAAATATCTTTCATAAAGGTATATACTGTATATCTTGTATAATAAAGCCGTTTTAAAGCCGTAGCTAAAATTTTATGTAATTAGAAGTCTTTTTTTTGCTCGAAAATAAAACATAGGAGTAAATAATTATGCTCGAACTCCCAGTATTTGGATATGGCCGAACACCGCAAAACTTCACCCTAGATTCACTACAAATGATTGTCACGATTGTGGAATCGACGAAATCTCCATTGAACTTGAATTAAATAAATGGTATCATATAGGTTATACACTTTCAGAACCTCTTAAACGCATGGACTTCTATTTAAATGGAAAATGAATTGGATTCAAGAGCATTGAACACGTTCAGACGCAATACGTTGAATTTAACAAAGATCCGTTACATATTGGATGTGATTTTAGCAATTCAAATTTTTCGGGAAAAATGAGGTATTGATTTTTTTTTTTCAATTATATTTTCTCAATAAATGCATTAATTATAAATATTACATTTGTAATAGCAATTTTTGTTATTACAATCACCGTTTATCTGCTGATGAAATTCATAAAAACCTTGTAAGATTCATTTCAAAATTACTGTAAGCATTAATCAGTTTCTAATTATAATGTAACTTATAATTTAGATTGACACATACCAATAAGTGATAGGCTCCATGCCTTTATATTTCAATAGTAGTATAGTAAATTGAATGTAAATATACTGTAACTCGCTACAAATCTAAATAAATTTTTGATATATTATATTATTCGAGAAAATAAATTACATTTTTAGTGTTGTGGGTATGTTGAGACGCGGTATTGCGTTATGTAATTGCGGCGTTTGGAAAGTGGAAAATCTAGCATAGACTTATATATGTAATTTGTTGCGCAAATGAGTACTGTAATATGTACAGTAGATAATGTAAGGGCAGGATCACTGACCAGTATTTATTGGCGATAATCGATCCTGAAAACACTAAGGATCCATTGAATCTATAAGATAGTAGAAATTCATGTAATCTTTACTATACCATCACAAAGAAATCTAAATGTATATTATAACTAATATCTGTAATTAAGACATATCAATTAAAAATAATAATAGTAGCATAATAAATAAAAAAAGAATACAGGTCTTGTGACTTGCCGTGTTGAGTAAGTTAGAGCTTCCCAGAAGAACCTTTACCATAAAAGTGCGTAATAACGCCCATGAGCGTTAATTCAAAATTCATATTTTTTAAAAAATTACATGTTTTACTTAAAATAACGCTCATGGGCGTTCCGATATAACGTGCACTTATATATAAATGTAAATTTTAATAATTCAATTTTAATAATAGCATATAAAAAATAAAAAAAACAATTTATAGTCGATAAAACTAAACGTTAATAAAAAAAAAACAAAATTACAATTCATCACTAATTTTATCACTAATTTCATCGTTACTAATTTCTTCACTAATTTCATTTTCTATCATATTATCAAGATCTAATTCTTCTGATGATAATATATCATTCTCTTCTGATTCATCTATAATTATATCATCTATATGATTTTCAATAATTGCTTGAAGTCGAGTTGACATCTTATTATTTTCGCTTCCATCAGAATTTAATATAAGTCCTGTTGCTTTGAAGGATTTTATCAAAAGATCTTGATTGATTTCTTTCCATACTTCTGATACCCATTTACAAATTAATTCATATGATACTTTTTTATAATTTCTATTTATTGTAAATTCTTTTTTTCCATCACTTATCCATTCATCCCATTTTTGTCTTATTCCACTTTTAAATGGTTTATTTACAGAGACATCAGGTGGTTGTAATACACTAGTTATTCCACTGGGAATTTTTATAATTTCCAAACATTCAGTATTTAATGCTTTTATAACATCTTCACGTATATGGCTTCCATGACAGTCAATAAATATAATATCTTTGTTTTTAAAAAATCCATTTGGTCTTGCTCAAATAATTTGTGAAATATATAGTATATAGAAAGCATTAAATCTCCATGCATATTTCCATAATTCACAGAAGTTACAACTATATCTTTGGGAAAATTTCCTTTGGGTTTTCTTTTTAATTTAAATATTACCATAGGTGGCAATTTGTATCCAGAAGCCATATAACTTAAAACAACTATAAAATGTAATTTATCATTTTCTGTAGTTTTGATTGAAACATCACGAATACCTTGAAAATCAATTGTTGAGCTTTGTGGCATATCAAACCAAATTGGTATTTTGTTAAATGTAATAATATATTTTTTTTTCAAAATTTTTTGTAGCTTTACGTGAAACCTGGAGAAAATTACTAACTATTAATAACATATCTTCAGCAAATTTTTGTGCTATTTGTGTTCTAGAACATTTTACTAAATTATGTCATTTTTTAAATCAATCAATCCAACCATGTGAGGCTTTTATATCTTTAAGTTCCAATGCTTTTGCTAATTTCTTTGCTTTATTTCTAATTATATAAGTTGTAATGGCAAGTTTCTCTTTCTTTTCTTTTTAATGAATTCTAATAATTCTTTTTCTAATGCAGGATACATTGATTTTCTTCCACAATCACTAAGTATTTGCATTTTTCTAAAATTCAAATCTTGATTTTTTTAATTTCTTCAAACTCAAGCTTTTTTTTTCTCCATTCTTGAACGTGTCTTCGATCAATTTTATAATATATTGATGCATTATGATTTGATATATTCTTTGCATAAGAAATAATCTAGAGTTTAAATAAAATAGTATAGCTTTGTTTTTTATATGTGTTAACATTCATATTGTAACAGTGTAACAGTGAGTCAGTCACCAACTCTAGTAGAGTTTTGCATAATTGCTATTAGGTAAATAAACAAAAGGGTGATTTGAAGTATGTTTTATTTGACTGAGTCTTTACTAATTTTCCCTTTATTATTTTCTGTTTGTCCTTTTTATCCCTTATTTTATATATTATTTATACTTCTCTTACTTTATATTTGGCTATGGCGATTTAGTCTAAAGTAATAAGTACTAGTACAATGACATGACTAAAGCTAGATAACATAATTTCTTTTCTACAATCCTTTTCGTTCTCTCTTTATTATATAATTATTAAAGCCAACTCACCATTGTTACGATTAGGACTCCTAAGGTACCACTTTGATACTACTTTGATACCAGTTCGATACTTAAATTTACTATAAAAACATATGAATAGATCACAACCTATATATTAAATTTACTATAGATCGGTACTATTTCGATACCAGTTCGATACCAGTTTGGTACTTTTTCGGAGCCTTAAACTTACCTTTTTTGTTTACAAGTTAATAATTATATAGTAAATTATTAGAGCTAGAATCAAATTATAATAAAACTAATTAAAGATACTATAATACAAGTTTATAGTATCCAGAAGATAAGTAAGACCTGACAAGTTCAATTCTATTATAATATGAGATCCAACTTTGTATTAGTAACAAACTCACTAATAGTAATAACAATATATAGAAAGTATATATGCTTGATATATTATATAATTAGTAGCTAGCTATTATTTGTTCTTTTTCTCTTTTTTTATAAGATTTTTTAAAATTGTATATGACATATTTAATTTTAGTAAGCAATAGATAATTATTTTATAAATGACTATTAACATATATTATATTTAATAAAAAGCTACATATTTATTGCTTTTTTTTAAAAAAGTATATTTTAAACTTAGATTATTAAATTATTTTTTATGCAATTTTAATTATTATTGCTAAGTTTTAAAATATATAATATTTTAAATTAGGTATTGTAGTTAAGTCTTATATAATTTTTTTATAAACAATATATATATTGTTATATATTATTTAGTAAATCTATACTATAATACTGTTAGCGTATAAAAAGATGATAGAAAATAATAAGGAAAAAGGTATAGTAAGTATATCAAGTATATCAAGTATAATAGATATATCAGGTATAAAGTGTATATCAGGTATAAAATGTATAATAGGTATAAAGTATATATTAAAAATAAGTATATAAGTAACAGAAGAAGAGACAAAAATGAGAGGAATTCCAGATAGGTACTATGCAACTCTGACATTCTCCTAGATTCCATTGTTGAACATCTGCCCTATTACCTGACCTACACACACTACACTTGAGAAATTGCCACACAAGTAGCAACCCCCTAGATCCCCAGATCTACCGATTGATCTGTAGTGCTATCCAATGGTTCAGACCAAATACACACACCTCTTTCGAGTAGAAGACGCGCTCCATTGTTACACGACGGGAGGTGCGCTCAAGCGACAGACTCGCCGGATTTACACACCAACAATACATTTCTAAATACAATATCTTAAACAATTTGTAAATTAGAAAAAGAAATTAAATCAATTAAATCAATTCTTACAAATATGAATAACAAACTTAATCATACTGAAGAAAATATATATTGAATTCATATTATTTAAAATAAATAAAACAAGAATTTATTAAATATAAAATAAATCATGAAACAATATTTAAGTTTCAAATTATCACATAAAAAAACAGATTTTTCAATTATTACAAAAAAAATCAGTAACAAGTTCAGCTCAAAACTTTTAAGAAAAATAATAACAATTATATTTAAAAATTGCAACAATAAGTAATATTTATGTATGAATTTATAGTGTAGTGGTTATGCTCTATAGGTTATTAAAAGAAGATTTAGAGTTCAAATCCACTTGGTTACAAAAAATTTATTATCTTTTTATTGGTTAACTGGCTTCCAATGCATATTGTATCCAATTAGTGAAAATCAATTTCAAAAAATTAGTTAGGCTACATAAAGATGAAACTTCTGATCTTTCTGATAATCATAAGCTGAAAACAAGTTAAAGTAGAAAAGATTATATAAAGAAAGGCTTTTAGTCTAACTATAATATAAGCCTACAACTCCAATTAATATGATAGACTTTATAGTACCATCTTCTATTCAAATTAAATGACTTACTGAATAAAGTTGTATCCAATTAACCAACTTTTTCAAACTGTATAGCAGACTTTATATATTGTAAGTAGATTCTCACTACCTTACTTAATGTTAATATAATTCAGGTTGGTGATTCATTTGAAAGAGAGTTAGGGTTATAAGCTGAAAAGAAAATTATTAAAAAGGTTTTTCAACTGTTGGACATGATTTTCCTTATTCATATTTACAAGTAGGAAGATATAGTATAAATCAGTGTATAAACTTCATTTGTGTGATATAAATTAGTATTCTAATAAAAGAACAGATGTATCAGTTAATATTAGCAATAGTTAATAGACTGTTCATATAATAGAATATAATTTTTATTGATTTATTAAATTACAATATATCATATTTAACTCTAAAAAAACAATAAGTGATATTCTTAAACAGATCTTAACATCTTTTAATCTACCAGTTAAAAAAAACAATACATAATTACAAACATAACCAAAAAAGCTATGGCAAAACTCTAATCAAAAAACTTAATAAATTTATCTTTTATAACTATATATTACTATAATCTTTTAAGATCTTTCAAACACAACATAATTAAAACTACTCAATATAATCTTGATATATAATTATTATCAATATAAGAAATTCAAATTCAATTAAAGTAAAACTTTTTTTTGACAAAAATAAATAAAATATAATAGCAAAAACATTTAATAAACCAAAAGAAACAATATTGAAAGTATAATAATTATCCAATAATTTAAAATAAAAAAGCTTACAAATTAAGAAATTTGGAATTATATATTTATTAAAAATCATCTTACAAATATATTTATAAAAAGCAAATATGATAAGACAAAATTATAATAATAATCTTTTATTTAAATACAAATACAGATTATAAGTTGTTGCAATTTATATATCAGTGATTTTTTTTTTATTGCGAATAAGTATTAAATGTGAGACTTTATTTAAATAAAAAATTTACTGTCATTACATTAACAATCTTTACAAAGTAAATTAATTGTA